ATAAAAGCGTGTAAAAAGAGACCTGATGGTTCATTGAGCCACTCTGTCTACAGGAAAGCTGCCCATATGGATGCTTACCTAAACCCGGATTCCAACCACCATCCATCCCAGAAGATTCCCTCATCAAGACTCTACACCATAGAGCCCAATGCATCTCCGACCAGAGCCCAATGCATCTACGACAAGGTTACTTCGACTACACAATCCGCAAAGCCTTCACTCCAACCATGAAGAAGGATCCTCTTGAGGAGCCATTCAAAACCATGACCTTACCATACATTGCCGGGGTCACAAAACATCTCCAAAATCCTGAATAAACACAAGTTCCAGGTCCGATTCAACACAGTACATAAAATCCGTGATCTGGTCCCGTCTGTAAAATATGTGATTCCAGACATACAGTACCTTGGCGTCTACAAACTAAGTTGCCTCTGTGGTAGCAGTTACATTGGAGAAACCAAACGACATGTCTCGGACCGCATCCGTGAACACAAAGCAGACTTGAAACACGGTAGGACCAACACCTCAGCCGTGGCAGACCATTACAATTCAGTGGGCTCACATGACATTGACTTCTCCAAGACGGAGGTTCTCTGCAAGCCATCCGGCTACCATGAGAGATTTATTCATGAGGCCATCCACATATACAAACACAAAGACAATTTCAACCGAGAAGATGGATTCTGGCTCAGCAATCATTGGAAGGACGTGATACACTATTTCGGGTCTTGATTGATTGTGTTCACGTTTACGGTGACTTTCAGACCGCATTCCATTCACTGGCATTGACGATATAGCTTTTGTATTCTCTTTGTAGTGACATAAGAAGGGAGGGGCTGCTGGGGGCTCTGGGATCCCAGGCGAGTCCAGACGCTTAAGCCTTTGGGCGCCAGGCGCTGGGTTCCCAGGGGGTCCAGACGCTTAAGCCTCTGGGCGCCAGGCGTTGAGTTCCCAGGCGCTTAATCCCCTGGGCGCCGCCAACGGGGGGGGGCTGTGTGTGCTCTGTGGGATGTCTGGTGGCGCACACGGCCCCACCCCTCGTTGGACCAGGCATAAAAGGAGAGCTCCCTGGACGATCGGGGCCCAGTTGTAACTCACGACCCAAGACCCACGACCAGCCATCTGAAGACCCTGGGATGCTGTGAGAGCCAGCGCTGGGACTCTGGAACTCCCGACTCTACGACCTTGTGAGGGCGAGTCCGGAGCGTAGCCAGAGTAGAGTAGCTAGGCTGTGTACCTAGGCTGTAACAGACTATCAGGACTGTTGGAGAGTTGGACTGTTGGGAGTGTTGTATCGTAATAAAGAAGTTACGTCTACAAGTGTCTCCGGAACCCGTTACATCTTCACAGATCGGAGTCTTTGCTCCGCTGCAAGTTTCCTGCTACCACTCTCCCACTGACATATTCCTTTGCTTCCTCTTAGTACCTTTCATGCGACGTTCAATAGTATGGTGTATAGTAGATTGTATAATAATCAATTGTATAATAGTGTAATGTTTAATATAATGTTTAAGGTAATATATAGTAATTGTGTAGTGAATGTACAGCAGTGTGGTATACAGTAGGGTTTGTAGAATAATACATAGTGTAATATTACAATGTATAGTCTAAGGTAGGGGTTTGTCTATGGCAGTGTATAGTTGTTTGATGTATAAAAAAGTTTAGTTGGAGGCATATGAATATAATGCATAATGTTAGAGCTTGGTGTTGTGTATACGATATTATACAGTGTAGTTTAGATTTTAAGGTATAATATTGTCATGTATAGTGGTCTAGTTTATAGCATAGTTGTAACGCAACACTGGACAGTGTAGCGCACTGTGGCTATTTCTCGCTCTCTCCCCCCTCCTCCGTTCCGAGCATAGATGGACTCGTCTGTCTGAACAACGCGAATCGCTGTCCGTGGTGCTCACGTTAAGGAAAAAACCGCCACTTATTTTTTCGACATAGAAGTGTAATGTATAATGACTTATTGTTAGTAGCTCAGCTTATTGGAGAGTATATTGAGTACATTGATTATATTGATGTAGTTTATATTTAGTTTTTCACATCGGTTTATTGTATGGTCGTAGGGTATTTGCAGTTCTTTAGAAACTCCTTTTTGTTTTCCACATAATGCACTAGCTTGATACGCGGTGGTTTGGCTGCTGCAGTTCTTTATTATTAAAATTTCCCTTCCTTATTACTGCTAATGCTACATAATTTACGAGCATAATATGACTTTGATACCCCGCACCGCCTAAATATTCCACAATGAGTGACTAACCCCATATCTGCATTGGTCATCAACATGCTAAATTCCTCTGTTGATATGTAAACTTCGTTGTCAAGGCGCTCTCCTCCTCTAACCCAGCTTAAAATACACTGCCAAGCTTAGCAGTGTTCATTAGGACGCTGTCTTTCCGACAGCTCTGTTCTTCACCTGAGGATGGCTGCTTACGCATGCTCCATTTACATCAGGGACAGGCCCGGTCCTCGTTTACACGTGACTGTGAGTAACTCAGCCCAGAGGCCAACCAGAGAAAAACCATGTGCGCGGATCTGGTTATTCTGGACGAAGACCCGAGTCGCCCGCAGCATCAATCTGAGACACCCAACCCCTCAATAAGGGCTTATTCATTCTAGATTTGAAGCTTTCGTGACTGCAAGGATTCATACTCTTAGTTCTTTCGGTAAAGTCACGTAGGTAAAAAATGAAATTAAAATTTATAAAAAAAATACAAGTTAAGGGGGAGGAGGGGGGGGGCTTATCAGAATGTGGTATCCAATGAATGGAACGTATCGGGAGGGGGGGCGGGGCTAAAAGAGAGCACGAGGTGCTCGTAGGCGTCGACGTGGACGTGTTTGTGCGCAAGTCCCTGTTGGTGCACATGATAATGTATTGGAAGGGGGGGCGGGGCTAAAAGAGAGCACGGGGTGCACGTGTACGTGGACATACCTGTGCACAAGCACCTGTTAGTGCACATGATAGAAGAGAACGAAAATGTGCATGTTTATACCAGTGTTGGCTGACAATAAAGAGAGTACTGTTAAACGCTGGGGATGTTAACACTCGGTAAAGTAAAAAAGTGTCTGTGAGATAAGATGGTCCAAAAATGTGTAGTTAAATCTTTTTTGCATGGTTAATAACATCTTTCCAATGATTACTAAGTTTGTACCCATCATCACGGTTGATATTATGTCTGTGTTTGTATATCTGAATGGCTTCGTGTACAAACCTTTGATGGTAGCCAGAGGGTTTGCAGAGCACTTTGGTCTCGGAAAAAACAATATCATGAGAGCCCACCGCGTTGTAGCAATGATCGGCAACGGCGGAAGACTCAATTTTTGCCATGTTTCAAATCTGACTTGTGCTCGCGGACACGATCAGAGACATGACGTTTCGTTTCCCCAATGTAACAGTCACCACAGCTGCAACTCAGTTTATAGACTCCAGGGTATTGCAAGTCAGGGATGACATCCTTCACAGATAGAATTAGATCACGGATTTTATGTACTGTACTGAATCGCACTTGGATCTTATGTTTGTTTAGAATTTTGGAGATATTTTTGGTCACGCCTGCTATGTATGGCAACGTGATAGTTTTGATCGGCGTTTCAAGTGGCTGTTTCTGTATGGTGGGAGAAACAGCTTGGCGGATGGTGCGTTCTCGAGTATCCGTTCATCCTGAGGGCCCGATGTACATGTCTTAATTCACTGGCCAGGTGGTGTTGGTCAGAAATTCCATGAGCTCTGTGGTATAGCGTTTTTATGAGAGAATTCTTTTGAGATGGGTGGTGGTGGGAATCCGGTTTCAAGTAGGAATCTGTGTGGGTGGCTTTCCTGTAGACAGAATGTCCCAATGATCCGTCAGATCTCCTCTCAAACAGAATATCTAAGAATGGTAGTTTGCCATCTTTCTCCACTTCCATGGTGAATCTGATGGATGGGTGTCTGGAATTGATGTGATCCAAGAAGTTGTTCAATGCTGGGAGGCCATGTGGCCAAATGACGAAAGTGTCATCCACATACCTCTTCCACAGGGAAGGACGCAGGGTAGATGTCTGGATGGCGTCTGACTCAAGCTTTTCCATGAACATGTTGGCTATCACTGGTGCCAAGGGGGAGCCCATAGGGGTACCCTCATTCTGTTTGTAGAAAGTGCCATTCCAGGTAAAATAAGTGTTGGTGAGGCAATGCCTAACCAGCGCAGGTACATCCGAATTCAATCCATGTTGGACCAAGTCCTCAATTATTGTTAGGGTGTCAGGCACTGGAACTTTGGTAAACAGAGATACTACATCAAAACTTAGTCTCTATGGTCAAGGAGATGGTACTATCTCCTGATGATATCCTCGTCAGTTTTTTTTAAGAGCTTGCATCTTGGAATCCCTGCCTCACTTGATGCAGCAAATCTGACTGTGACGGTCCCACCTGATGACGGAGACTTGTGTTGCCTCTGAAACGTCGTGATTTTTTTATTTATTTAATTTTTTACCTATGTGACTTTACCGAAAGAACTAAGAGTAGGGCTCATTCACACCAACGACCAATAATAATACAAAACAATAATTGTGTATGGTGCTTAAATAACTCAACAAATTATATCTCATCTCAAACATTCAAAGGGCACCTACAGTAGCAGCTGTTTGTTTGTGACTCAAGGCAAATACATTTTGGTGAATTGGTTTATGGTGTAATTGTTTTAATTTGGCAATTTGGACCACGATGTCAGCTCACAAAGGTCTAGTAATTTACAATGACGTTAGTAGATATTTGAGATCCACTGTGAAGCAGATGGTTATAACTGTGGGTGACAGGGTGGCCTGTCAAAATCAAACCGTGAACCTCTTCAATAAAGGGAGAACTTGCTCGCATTGGGCCATGTCACCATACTGATTCAAATCATGACCAAGAGTTACCCACGTCCTCAGTCCCCCACACCTTCGATCAGAATTGCACCGAGTCATGCACACTCCTTTCTCTACCCTCCACCTCCCAGGGAGGGAGCGTGCCTCACCTTGGCCGCCACAGAAGAATTGGGCTTCTCCAGGAGATCCCAGAGCTTCTTGCGCTTTTCCGCGCAGCATGTGGCGTCGAACTCTTCGGCCTCGCGCTCACGGGCACTCTCTGCCTCCCTCCGCAGCTCCTCATTCATCTGCTCCTTCTTCTGGTGGTACCTCGCCTGGCAGCAAGACTCCAGGTAGATCTCATCGATGCCCCAGTAGTCAAGCTCCTGGCTGAATGACAACGCGCACATCTCCTCCATCATGTGCAACTTGCCAGTGCGGTAGAAGTTTAGGATGGAGGAAAAGGCCCCCGGGTGCCTGTCGAAGAAGTATTCGTTGTCTGCGAGGCTGTAGTCATCGCACAGTTCCATGACGGTGTCGTGCGCATTCGTGTCACGTAAGCGGCCGAGCCTTGTGCGGGGCAGCCGCTCGAGGGTCCGCCACAGCACCTCATGGGTGAGGCCTCCCACATTGAGGCGAACTCGCCGGGAGTTACCTTTGCTCTGTGCAATGTCCAGAGGTTCTGGTGGCAAAGACTGCGTGGAGGAGGAAGCCTGTCTGTTGAGTCCGGACGTCATCTTTTCTTCTTCCTCTTAGGTGTCTTCAACTTGATGCCTCGTTTGTCTTGCTCGGAGTGAGTTCGTGGTCGTGGTCTTTTCGTTTTTGTTCGTTGAGATGGTGTTAGTTTTTGGTGGCCTTGAGTTTAATCACGAGATTGATGGACAAGACGAACTGATGACAACCCTGTCCTCCTCTTCTCTCTGTCCTCTTCCCAACACAACAGAAATTTCCTCTGTTCTCCACGTCAAGATAAGTTCGCTCTCCGTGGTCACCGCTTGCATCGGAAATCCACGCAAAGGCTCATATCCACCAGTCCACATGGCCCATTATGATGTGTACTCATATTACTCTTGTTATTATTGGCTGTTGTGGTAATTGTAGTAACAGTTGTTATTTGTGTAGTTGTGTCACTCCACACTTGCCATAAATTTCCCCTCGTCTTTGTCTTTGATCCTAGACGAGGTGGAAAACAGAGACACATCGTCATCGAATGATGATTAACATGTACATGCGACAGTTTTATTCAGTCGACAGTGAGGTTGAGACCCAGTTCAGCTTTGGGGGAGGGGTGGGCGCAGGGATGAAGAGCATTCGGTGTGGGGATGTCCTTTCCCAACAAGTCTCTCCCCCCCCCCCCCCACCAAGGAGTGCACAATATACTTTGTGGTGGGGGGGGGGGTGTCATCCATGCCCAAAGCTGCGAGTGGGATGAGACTAAGAGGGGACCTTAATGGTCAGGATTTGGCAATTGTGCAAGGACGGAAGTGATGGCGAGGTAAGTGGCATTATCAGTATTGACGGTAACGTCCTCTTTAACATGAACTCGTCATCTTGCCTTGCTCAGCGACAGTGGTAAAAAGAAGATCGAGAAAATAAGACATCATGCAAACACAGCCGATTACACACTTGGGTAATTTTTCAGGGTTGTTGACCAGCGTGGTGAAGGATGGTCAACCACCCCCATAACCCACACGAAGTGGAGAGGCCTTCATCCCAGCAGTTGCTTGACAAATGGCTGCCACAAAATCTATGAGAGGCAGGAAGTCGTGACAAAGTGGTTCAGGACCCCCAATTTACCAACCCACAATGACTATCGTGGTGAATTATGGTCAAATGGAACCCCCAATTCTGATACGTGGATTGGGGAGGCTTGTGAATTAATATTACTGCTATTCGCATGAGCGGAGTGGGAGGGGGGATTGAACCTTACTGTGTAAGCGTAGAGGGTGGATATTGTTAATGGTATTATCCCCATTAGCCAGTCACCCCCGTTGACTCTCGCAATCCCCGGCAGAGTGGGGACGTCACACAATAGGAGGGTCATGAAATCAACGGCTACAGTAGCACGGAGCGAAGTGGGTTTTAATTAAGCCGGGTTCTCAAGTGTCGTGTAAGTTGTTGGTCTTGTCCCTGTTATCAATGGGTTGCATGCTCAAAGGCTTACACATAGACCCGCAACCTCACATTGAATAGAAAACATACAAGGTTTAACTCATCGATTTACACAAATATGCTTACTCAAATAGAGACTTGTGGACTTACGTCTATATCAATAGACTCGCATGGACTTAACTAAGCTTTGAATAAACCCGAGTTCTCAAGTGTAGCGAGTTGGTAGCTTTCAGCCCGGTCATGCCATGTGACCAACATTTCTCAATAGCAGGGTATCTGGGAAAGTGCTGCTCCCTACTGTGTGGAAAAGAGGTCTATATACTTGCTTAGAGACCAAAATACGCACTTAGAGACCCATAGATTTACATACAGACCCATACACGTATATAGAGATTTGTAGACTAAATAGAGACCCAGATATTCGCACAAAAAACAATGAATGTACGACTGAGTTGTGATTAAACTTGGTTCTCAAGTGTAAAGAGTTGATCATCTCTGTCTGGTTAACAATGAACTTAGCATAGCCTTTTTCTTTTTCACTTGTTTTGGGCTTATTACAGATCTCACAATTATACATTTTAAAAAAAATACATTTGAGAAGCATTTCTAAAGTAGGACATGTTAGAATTTGGAGCCACCCTTGGGTGGATGAAAGGCAATTAAAGGGACTCCTAACTAAGACCTTTGCCGTGTTCTTGCAGAAGCCGTTCTCTAACACACGGGGTGATGTTACACTGCAGTCCACGAGAGTTCCCGATAGATTAATCTCATGACACAATTTTGGAAATTATCATCATCATTCGGCCAAGTGGCTCAGGTAGAGCAAGCAGCTCACAATCAGAAGATTGCGAGTTTAAATAGAGTACCACTTTGTAGAAAAATCAACAGTGGTTATCCTATAATAGGAATTTGGAATATCCACCAAAAGTTCAGGGCTCGAAACAGGAGATGAGCACCAATGCCACAATGCTCATTTGAGCAGGATATCACAGACTTGTATTGTTTGAAATTATAATTAAGTATCATGACAGTGTGACGTCTATAGAATAACTGGGATGGAATTTGGAAAGTTAATGCATTAAATCGCACAGAGGATTGTGACACTTAAGCGAGTGATCACGGTTAGTGTGTTACTCAGTCAATGAGTGATAATTTTGCATGTGATTTGGGAGGTAAGTTTAGCCAAAATTACATTCCCAAGGCCATGAGAGAATTCATCTCAGTCAAACTCGACCACGTGTGCCAATCCGGGCACATGTGCGTGAGTGTGTGTGTCTCAGAGGGGAGTGGTAATGTAGCGGTTAACGAGCTGTGCGACGAATCTGGCGCCCCAATTCCCGCTCACGGCCGACACCAGTGACGGTTACCTGAACCGGTCCTGGGCCTCCTTCCCGGGGCGATTCAGCCTCAAATGAGTTCCTGGTCCAGTGTGTAAACATCGCCACTGGGGAGACAAAGGTGGTCGTGCATGGTGCTGGCCACCCACCGCCTCGTGTGCCGTGCAGGCCTTGATAGGTGTTTGCTAACAGCATTTGCCCCAATAGTCTTTTAAGGCTATATGGGGAATCATTGTCTTATAACTGTGTTTGTGCGCATGTGAGCGTGTTTATATACATATGTGTGTTTGTATGCACGTGTCTTGGGGAGCTGTGGTGGGGATCAGTAGCGAGGTGGTTAGCACACTTCGCTATGAACCTAGCGATTCGAGTTACGAAACGATTTTTTATTTTAGCAGGTAAGGGCCACTGAGCTATATAGATATTTTTCATAAGCGACCTGGCCACAAATAATAGCTCAACGAAGTGGCTTATCGTGTGGAAATGTATTGCAAACAAATACTCTAAGCGCATGTTGATTCTAAATGTGGAGGAAAAAACCAGAGGACCTGAAAAAAAAGCCACGCGACCACGGGGAGAACATGCAATTTCGATATATACAGGCGTCAGGGTCGATATCGAACCCACGACCTCCTGTACACCAGACAAGGGAGTTCACATATCGCCACCGTCGCACCCACTTCAATACCCGCTCAGGACCAATAACAGTGGAGAATATTTGAACTGGATTTTGGCATCTCATAGGTCGACTCAGTCTTAATTAAGTACCTGGTGCGATGTATAAACGTTATCACTGGGGATACAAAGGGGACTGAGCGTGATGTTAGCCATAGGTGTTTACTAACAGCACTTGCCTCCAATAATCTGTTAAAGCTATACAGTGAGGGAAAAAAGTATTTGATCCCCTGCTGATTTTGTACGTTTGCCCACTGACAAAGAAATGATCAGTCTATAATTTTAATGGTAGGTTTATTTGAACAGTGAGAGACAGAATAACAACAACAAAATCCAGAAAAACGCATGTCAAAAATGTTATAAATTGATTTGCATTTTAATGAAGGAAATACGTATTTGACCCCCTCTCAATCAGAAATATTTCTGGCTCCCAGGTGTCTTTTATACAGGTAACGAGCTGAGATTAGGAGCACACTCTTAAAGGGTGTGCTCCTAATCTCAGCTCACTCTTAAAGGGTGTGCTCCTAATCTCAGCTCGTTACCTGTATAAAAGACACCTGGGAGCCAGAAATCTTTCTGATTGAGAGGGGGTCAAATACTTGCTCCTAATCTCAGCTCGTTACCTGTATAAAAGACACCTGGGAGCCAGAAATATTTCTGATTGAGAGGGGGTCAAATACTTGCTCCTAATCTCAGCTTGTTACCTGTATAAAAGACACCTGTTCACAGAAGCAATCAATCAATCAGATTCCAAACTCTCCACCATGGCCAAGACCAAAGAGCTCTCCATGGATGTCAGGGACAAGATTGCAGACCTACACAAGGCTGGAATGGGCTACAAGACCATCGCCAAGCAGCTTAATGAGAAGGTGACAACAGTTGGTACGATTATTCGCAAATGGAAGAAACACAAAAGAACTGTCAATCTCACTCGGCCTGGGGCTCCATGCAAGATCTCACCTCGTGGAGTTGCAATGATCATGAGAACGGTGAGGAATCAGCCCAGAACTACACGGGAGGATCTTGTCAATGATCTCAAGGCAGCTGGGACCATAGTCACCAAGAAAACAGTTGGTAACACACTACGCCGTGAAGGACTGAAATCCTGCAGCGCCCGCAAGGTCCCCCTGCTCAAGAAAGCACATATACATGCCCGTATGAAGTTTGCCAATGAACATCTGAATGATTCAGAGGACAACTGGGTGAAAGTGTTGTGGTCAGATGAGACCAAAATGGAGCTCTTTGGCATCAACTCAACTCGCCGTGTTTGGAGGAGGAGGAATGCTGCCAATGGCCCCAAGAACACCATCCCCACCGTCAAACATGGAGGTGGAAACATTATGCTTTGGGGGTGTTTTTCTGCTAAGGGAACAGGACAACTTCACCGCATCAAAGGGACGATGGACGGGGCCATGTACCGTCAAATCTTGGGTGAGAACCTCCTTCCCTCAGCCAGGGCATTGAAAATGGGTCGTGGATGGGTATTCCAGCATGACAATGACCAAAAACACACGGCCAAGGCAACAAAGGAGTGGCTCAAGAAGAAGCACATTAAGGTCCTGGAGTGGCCTAGCCAGTCTCCAGACCTTAATCCCATAGAAAATCTGTGGAGGGAGCTGAAGGTTCGAGTTGCCAAACGTCAGCCTCGAAACCTTAATGACTTGGAGAAGATCTGCAAAGAGGAGTGGGACAAAATCCCTCCTGAGATATGTGCAAACCGGGTGGCCAACTACAAGAAACGTCTGACCTCTGTGATTGCCAACAAGGGTTTTGCCACAAAGTACTAGGTCATGTTTTGCAGAGGGGTCAAATACTTATTTCCCTCACTGTAGGTGAGAT